ACCAGCACCAGCCTGCCTTGCTTCACAGCTGGGCCTCGTCTGGGCATTTCCAAACCCGATACAAAGAGGAGGAATTTGCAGATCTCTCTGTAGCTACTGCTGGGTGGCCCCAAGTAGTGGCTGACCCTGCACCTCCTTGGAGATCCAAGAGCCAGTGTACCCAGTGGTCAGTGCGAGACCATACCAGATTACAACTCTTCACATCAATAAGAGACACACTCAAGAGGCAGACTCAGTGAGCACCAAAGCCCCAATGAAGCAAATCCTGCACAGCAGCTCTTCCATTGTAGACATAGCTGGTCCTTACAGCCAATTGGCATGGAGGTCAATTCCTCCCAGTGATACCAACAGCAATTAAGGCTCAACTACAACAAGACTGTGCACACGATCGACAAAGGGGTGCACCAAGCGTGTCCACCTCAGGTGATTGGGGAGGCTGAGCCACTGGGCCCTATAGGACATCTACTACACAAGGCCATTCTATCAACTCAAGGAGACTTAGCAACTACCCAATACATAGAAACAAACACAGGGAAGCAGCCAAAATATGGAGACAAAGAGACATGTCACAAATGAAAGAAATGGAAGAAAACAAACTACTGGATATAGAGTTCAAAACCACAGTTATAAGGTTACTCAAGAATCTTCTAGAAACCTCTGAGGAACTTAGTGAGACCTTCAAGGATCTTAGTGAGAATGCAAAAAAAAAAAAAAAAAAAAAAAAAGGAAGCCCTAACCTGTTTGGCTCAGTGGATAGAGCGTCAGCCTGAGGACTGAAAGGTCCCAGGTTCGATTCCAGCAAGGGCATGTACCTTGGTTGCGGGCACATCCCCAGTGGGGAGTGGGAAGGAGGCAGCTGATCGATGTTTCTAACTCTCTATTCCTCTCCCTTCCTCTCTGTAAAAAATCAATAAAATATGTTTTTTAAAAAATGGAAAAGGGCCAGTCAGAAATTAAGCATACACTGACTGAAATAAAAAATAATATACAGAGATCCAACAGCAGACTAGAGGATCCCAAGAATCAAGTTAAAGATTTGAAATACGAAGAAGCAAAAAACACCCAACCAGAAAAGCAAAAAGCAAAAAGAATCCAAAAATATGAAGATAGTGTAAGGAGCCTCTGGGATACTTCAAGCGTACCAACATCTGAATTATGGGAGTGCCAGAAGAAGAAAGAGAGCAAGATATTCAAAACCTATTTGAAGAAATATTGACAGAAAACTTCCCCTACCTGGTGAAAGAAATAGACTTACAAGTCCAGGAAGCATAGAGAACCCAAACAAGAGGAATCCAAAGAGGACCACACCAAAACACATCATTATTAAAGTGCCAAGGGCAAAAGACAAAGAGAGAATATTAAAAGCAGCAAGAGAAAAACAGGTAGTTACCTACAAGGGAGTACCCATATGATTGTCAGCTGATTTCTCAACAGAAATCATGCAGGCCAGAGGGAGTGGCAAAAAATAGTCAAAGTGATGAATAGCAAGAACCTACAACCAAGATTACTTTACCCAGCAAAGCTATCATTTAAAATTGAAGGTCGCCAAAACCGGTTTGGCTCAGTAGATAGAGCGTCGGCCTGCAGACTGAAAGGTCCCGGGTTCGATTCCGGTCAAGGGCATGTACCTGGGTTGCACGCATATCCCCAGTAGGAGATGTGCAGGAGGCAGCTGATCGATGTTTCTCTCTCATCGATGTTTCTAACTCTCTATCTCTCTCCCTTCCTCTCTGTAAAAAATCAATAAAATATATTTAAAAAATAAATAAAATTGAAGGTCAGATAAAGAGCTTCACAGATAAGAAAAAGCTAAAGGACTTCATCACCACCAAACCAGTATTATATGAAATGCTGAAAGGTATCCTTTAAGAAGAGGAAGAAGAAGAAAAAGGTAAAGATACAAATTATGAACAACAAATACACATCTATCAACAAGTGAATCTAAAAATCAAGGGAATACATAATCTGATGAACAGAATTAACTGGTGATTATAATAGAATCAGGGACATAGAAAGGGAATGGACTGACTATTCTTGGGGGGGAAAGGGGTGAGGGGGATGCTGGAAGAGACTGGACAGAAATCGTGCACCTATGGATGAGGACAGTGGGTGGGGAGTGAGGGTGGAGGGTGGGGTGGGAACTGGGTGGAGGGGAGTTATGGGGGGAAAAAAGAGGAACAAATAATAATCTGAACAATAAAGATCTAATTTAAAAAAAAAAGAAGTAAAAAAAAAGAAAGAAAGAAAAAGCTAAAGGAGTTCATCACAACCAAACCAGTATTATATGAAATGCTGAAGGGTATTCTTTAAGAAGAGGAAGAAGAAGAAAAAGGTAAAGATAAAAAATTATGAACAACAAAGCGACAACAAATATATATCTATCAACAAGTGAATCTAAAAATCAAATGAATAAAAATTCTGAAGAACAGAATAAACTGGTGAATCTAATAGAATCAGGGGCATGGAAATGGAGCGGACTGAGAGTTCTCAGGGGGGAAGGGGGTATAGGGAGGGTGCGGGAAGAGACTGAGCAAAGATCATATATGGAGAACCTACGGATGCGGACAGTGGGGTGGTGAGAGCCTACTGTGGGATGTGTAGAGGGGAGGTATGGGGGAAAAAAGAGGAACATCTGTAATAATCTGAACAATAAAGATTAAAAATAAATAAAATAAGCCGAGACCGGTTTGGCTCAGTGGATAGAGCGTCGACCTGCGGACTGAAAGGTCCCAGGTTCGATTCCGGTCGAGGGCATGTACCTGGGTTGTGGGCACATCCCCAGTGGGGGGTGTGCAGGAGGCGGCTGATCGATGCTTCTCTCTCATCGATGTTTCTGACTCTCTATCCCTCTCCCTTCCTCTCTGTAAAAAATCAATAAAATATATTTTAATAAATAAATAAATAAATAAATAAATAAATAAATAAATAAATAAATAAAATAAAAATAAAAAGATCCCCAGGTGATTCTAATGTGCAGCCAAGGTTGAGAACCACTGGTATAGAGACACCATTTCCCCACAGAACATCTCCTGGCATTTCCTGAATGAGTGGGATTAGCAATCTAAATCATATTTCAGTGGAAGGGGCTGAGAGGGGAAACAGGGACATCTGTAATAGTGTCAGCAATGAAAATAAAGAAAAAATATATAAAATCTCCCTAAAATAAATAAATAAACCAATTAATCAATCATATTTCAGCCCGGCCAGTGTGACTCAGTGGTTAAGTGTCGACTAATGCACCAAGAGGTCACAGGTTAGATTCCTGGTCAGGGCACATGCCTGAGTCATGGGTTCCATCCCCAATTCCTGGTAGGAGTGTGCAGGAGGCAGACAATTGGTGTTTTTCTCTCTCATGGATGTCTCTATCTCTCTCTTTTTTTCCTTCCTTTCTCTAAAAAAATCAATAAAAATTTTGAAAAATAAATAAATCATATTTCAAGAGATAACACCAACAATTTAAAAGGATTATTAAAATGACATTTATGAGACTGTGAACAATTCTTTTTTAAAATATATTTTTATTAATTTTAGAGAGGAAGGGAGAGGGAGAAACATCGATTGGCTGCCTCCTGCACGCCCCTTACTGGAGAGAGATCCCACAGCTTGGGCATGTGCTCTGACCAGGAATTGAACTGGTCGCCTCCTGGTTCATGGGTTGATGCTCAACCACTGAGCCACACCAGCTGGGCTATTTTTTTTTTTTCCTTGCAAATCATGAGATTTATTAGCAGTGAAATATTTCAGAGTTGTTGGTCAGTTGGCAAAAGCATGACTGTGGTTATAAGACACTGCTAGGTTATAAGACACACAAATGTGAGTGATTTCACCGTTTTTGCTGTTTTGTTTTAATGACTGTGCTTGACAACTATGGCTTGATTTATAGATTTTTGACATAAAATCCTTCTCAATTTTAGGCTGTTTCCCTTTTGAGCCTTGATCTTTAATAACACATTGTATGCGGGAAATGTACTTATACGTTTTACTTATACGTTTTACGTTGACTGGTAGTAGAGCATGGGACACGTACTAATAAGTTTTTTATAGACTAGCGGTAGAATGTGGGTAATGTATAAATACGTAAACTAAAGTTATCGTAATTTTACTGAACGTTGCCATTTGCTCAAAAAATTAGCAAAAATGGCCCATCATCCCCTCACCCAGGCTGGCCAGGCACCCCAGTGGGGACCCCCACCCTGATCCAGGACACCCTTCAGGGCAAACCAGCTGGCCTCCACCCATGAACCAGGCCTCTATCCTATATAGTAAAAGGGTAATATGCCTCCCAGCACCAGGATCAGCGGAGCCGAGAGGCCTCCTGGCACCGGGATCAGTGTGACAGGGGGCAGCACCCAAACCCCCTGATTGCCCTGCGGCTCTGTGTGTGACAGGGGGCGGGGCCACAACCTCCCTATCTGCCCTGCTCTGTTTGTGACAGGGGAAGGCGCCCCAACCCCCTGATCAGCCCTGTTCTATGCCTGATAGGGGGGAGCTCCCCAAGCCCCTGATCGCCCTGTGGCTCTGTGTGTGATAGCGTGTGGCGCCCCAACCCCCTGATTGGCCCTGCTCTGTGCGTGACAGGGGGTGGTGCCGCAGCCTCCCCATCGACCCTGCCTTGAGTGTGAAAGCAGGCGGTGCCCCAACCCCCCAATCGGCCCTACCCTGAGCGTGACTGGGGGTGGCATCGCAACCTCCCAATCCGCCCTGCTCTGTGCATGACAGGGGGTGGCGCCCCAACTCCCCAATCGGCCCTGCTCTGAGCCCGATCAGGGGCTGCACCTAGGGATTGGGCCTGCCCTCTGACACCCGGAAGCAGGCCTAAGCCAGCAGGGTGTTATCTCCCAAGGGGTCCCAGACTGCGAGAGGGCACAGGCCGGGCTGAGGGACCCCCCATCCCCGAGTGCACAAATTTTTGTGCACCGGGCCTCTAGTATATATATAAGCCTAAACAACTGGTATGACTGAATAACCGGAACAACCGGATGACCAGTTGACCAGTCGCAATGACGGCACTGATGCGCGTAATAATAATTGCTGGGGTCCAACCCCAGCGGGTCCAGGGGTCTCCAAAGGTGTGGACGGAGTCAGCGAAGAAGGAATGACACAGAGGCAGCATTCAGTTGATCAGCAGCCTAGCCAGGATCTCTAGCCAGGATCTCCAGCCAAGTTCTGGTCTGGATCTCCAGCCAAGTTCTGTTCTAGTCAGGTTCTCTTGCCATGTTCTATCCAGGTTCTGTAGCCAGGTTCTGTCTCTAGGTTCTTCAGCCAGGTTCTCTCGCTAGGTTCTGTCTCTAGGTTTTGTGGCCAGTTTCTGTTCAGGATCTTTTGCCATGTTCTGTCTCTAGGTTCTGTCTCCAGTTTCTGTCCAGGATCTTTTGCCATGTTCTCTCCAGCGAAGTTCTTCTGTCTCTAGGTTCTGTGTAGGTTCTGTGTCTAGGTTCTGTGTCCTGTTGTCTTGTTACATCTGTATTTATACCAGTTGATTCCAATCCTATCAATCTCTATTCCAAAGGTTAGGGCATTTCTTATCTCCATTCCAGGGAGTAAAGATTATGTAGCTTAAGCATGATTGTTCGTAGTTAAAGTGATTAATTACCCCCCTGGCACTTAGTTAAGGGGTTTTATTCCCTCCCTAACTTCAGGGGAAAATCCCTACCTGGGGAAACAACCTTTCTCAGAGAGGTGACCTTGGTTAAAACACATAGTGCCAAGAAGGTGAGCAAACATATTAAGAACAGTATGCCATATATGCCAGGTCCCTTGAAACAGCAAGGATGGACTGGCTCCCGGCAAATAATAATAATAATAATAATAATAATAAATGTAACTCCATCTCTCTAAGAGTTGCTTGGTTCTTCTCCGGTTTTCTGTAACAAAATGGAGTATGCTGGTGGGCTACTGGCAGCTTTTCAGTCCATGTTCACTCACATCATGATGGTGTTTTGTTGTTTTTTTTAAATTTATTTTTATTGATTTCATAGATGAAGGGAGGGAGAGAGAGAGAGATAGAAACATCAACGATGAGAGAGAATAATGGACTGGCTGCCTCCTTCACACCCCCCACTGGGGATCGAGCCCACAACCCGGGCAAATGCCCTTGAGCGGAATCGAACCCGGGACCCTTCAGCCCACAGGCCGACGCTCTATCCATTAAATGTTGGCGGATTTTAATTGGTCACAGTGGGAGCGTATACGCCGAGGAGATCGGCAAAGACTGCAAGTCACAGCTTAATTTATTGTGTATTGAATATTTAGACAAGAAAGAGGGCTCCTTCCCTTTTCTGCCTGATCCCCAAATATCTTTTTTACCACCCTGGGGATTACCTGTCCTAAGAAAAAATAGGAAATGAAAAAGGAACACATGGGTAAAGAATAAAAATGGTGAGAAACAAGTATCTATCAATAATAACTTTAAATGTAAATAGATTAAATGCCCCAATCAAAAGTCATAGGGTAACTGAGCGGATAAGAAAACATGACCCATATATCTGCTGTCTATAGGAAACACACCTCAGAAAAAAAGACACACACAGGCTGATGGTGAAGGGATGGCAAAAGGTTCTTCAGGCGAATGGAAATGAAAAAAAAGCTGGGGTAGCAATACTTATATCTGATAAGTTAGATCTCAAAGTGAAGGACATAAAAAGAGATAAGGAAGGCCACTTCATAATACTAAAGGGAGCAATCCAACAAGAAGAAATAACTCTGGTAAACATATATGCACCCAATATAGGAGCACCCAAATACATAAGAAAACTTCTGGAGGGGATCAAGGGAGAGATTGACAGCAATACAATCATAGTAGGGGACTTTAACACCCCACTATCACCATTGGACAAATCCTCTAAACAAAAAATCAGCAAAGAAACTTCAATCCTAAACGATTCACTAGATCAGATGGAACTAATTGACATCTTCAGAACATTTCATCCCAAAGCAACCGGTCGTTATGGTCGTTATGGTCACTGGCTTTTTATATATATAGACTAGAGGCCCGGTGCACAAAAATTTGTGCACTTGGAGGGGATGGGAGGTACCTCAGCCCAGCCTGTGCCCTCTCGCAGTCTGGGACCCCTCAGGGGATGACCACCTGCTGGCTTAGGCCCGCTCCCCAGGGGATTGGGCCTAAGATGGCAATCAGACTTCCCTCTGGCAGCCCGGCAGCCCTCGGGGAATGTCCACTTGCCAGCGGGGAGCAGGCCTAAACTGTAGTCGGACATCCTTAGCGCTGCTGAGGAGGCAGGAGAGGCTCCCACCACCACCGCTGTACTGGCAGCCATCAGCCTGGCTTGTGGCTGAGCAGAGCTCCTCCCATGTGAGAGCGCCCTGACCACCAGAGGGCAGCTTCTGCATTGAGCGTCTGCCCCCTGGTGGTCAGTGTGTGTCATAGTGATCAGTCATTCCCAGTCCTTCTGCTGTTAGGGTCAGTTTCCATATTACCCGTTTACTATATAGGATAGAGGCCTGGTGCACGGGTGGGGGCCGGCTGGTTTGCCCTGAAGGGTGTCCCGGATCAGGGTGGGGGTCCTGCTTGGGTGGCTGGTCAGCCTAGGTGAGGGGATGATGGCTGTTTGCAGCTGGTCACACCCCCTTCAGGGTGGGGGTCCCGCTTGGGTGCCTGGCCAGCCTGGATGAGGGGATGATGGCTGTTTGCAGCTGGTCACACCCCCTTCAGGGTGGGGGTCTCCACTGGGGTCCCTGGCCAGTCTGGGTGAGGGGCTGAGGGCTGTTTTCAGGCTGGTGGGCAACTGAAGCTCCCAGCCTCTCCTTTTTTCTTTTTTTCTTTTTATTCTGGGATTAATTTACCTTCTATAGCTGTCACTGGAGCTGAGAGCAGGCTCCAGCTCTGAGGCCGTTACCAGCTGAAAGCAGGTACCTGGGTTTGTTTAGATTCTATAATTGAAACTCTGTTGCCATCACTGGCCACTCTAAGCTCTGAGGCCACGCTGGCTGAAAGCAGGTATCTGGGGTTTGTTTAGATTCTATAATTGCAACATTGTTTCATCCGGAGCTCAGAGCTGAGCTGCAGCAGGCAGGGAACGTTGACTTCCTCCATCACTGGAGTAAGCAAGCCTCATGTTCATGTTTGCTTCAGCTGCCTGGCTGCCGGCCGCCATCTTGGCTGGCAGTTAATTTGCATATCTTGCAGATTAGCCAATGGGCAGGGTAGCGAAGTTATGGTTAATTACCATGTTTCTCTATTATTAGATAGGATTGTTTCCCAATGAAATGTACCAGGGAAAAATATTGCTTTCAGAAATGTCCAAGATTTTCCTGTTTACGTTTTCTTCCAGAATTGTTATGGTTGTGAGTCTAATATTTAAGGTATTTAATCCATTTTGAGTTTATCTTTGTGTATGGTGTAAGAAGACCTAATAAATATTTTTTTTTCTTTCTTTCTTTTTTCTCATCATTGATATTTTTTTTGCTTTTTTTTATTGCTTAAAATATTACAAAGGGTAGTACATTTGTCTCCTTTTTTTCCCCCTTGACCTTCCCCTAGCCTCCCTACCACCTAGTGCCTTGTGTCCATTGGTTATGCTTATATGCATGCATGCAAGTCCTTTGGTTGATCTCTTACCCCCCCGCCAACCCTCCCCAGCCTTCCTGCTGTAGTTTGACAGTCTGTTTAAGGCTGCTTTGCCTCTGTATCAATTTTTGTTCATCAGTTTATAATGGTCTTTATTATCCATAAATGAGTGAGATCATGTGGTATTTGTCTTTCTCCGACTGGCTTATTTCACTTAACATAATGCTTTCCAGTTCCATCCATGCTGTTGCAAATGGTAAGAATTCCTTCTTTTTTACAGCAGCATAGTATTCCATTGTGTATATGTACCACAGTTTTCTAATCCATTCATCTTTTGATGGAACTTAGGCTGTTTCCAAATCTTAGCTATTGTAAATTGTGCTGCTATGAACATTGGGGTGCATATATCCTTTCTGATTGGTGTTCCTGGTTTCTTGGGATATATTCCTAACATTGGGATCAATGGGTCAAATGGGAGTTCCATTTTTAACTTTTTGAGGAAACTCCATACTGTTCTCTACAGTGGCTGCACCAGTCTGCATTCCCAGGAGCAGTGCACGAGTGTTCCTTTTTCTCCACATCCTCTCCAGCACTTGTCGTTTGTTGATTTGGTGATGATAGCCAGTCTGACAGGTGTGAGATGGTACCTCATTGTTGTTTTGATTTGCATCTCTCAGATGATTAGTGACTTTGAGCATGTTTTCATATGTCTCTTGGCTTTCTGAATGTCCTCTTTTGAAAAGTATCTATTTAGGTCCTTTGCCCATTTTTTGATTGGGTTGTTTATCTTCCTTTTGTTAAGTTGTATGAGTTCCCTATAAATGTTGGAGATTAAACCCTTATCGATGATAACATTGGCAAATATGTTCTCTCATGCAGTGGGCTTTCTTGTTGTTTTGTTGGTGGTTTCTTTTGCTGTGCAGAAGCTTTTTATTTTGATGTAGTCCCATTTTTTTATTTTCTCTTTAGTTTCCATTGCCCTAGGACAGGGGTGGGCAAACTTTTTGACTCGAGGGCCACAATGGGTTCTTAAACTGGACCGGAGGGCCGGAACAAAAGCATGGATGGAGTGTTTGTGTGAACTAATATAAATTCAAAGTAAACATCATTACATAAAAGGGTACGGTCTTTTTTTTTTTTTAGTTTTATTCATTTCAAACGGGCCGGATCCGGCCCGCAGGCCGTAGTTTGCCCACGGCTGCCCTAGGAGATGTATCGGTGAAGAAATTGCTTCAGCATATACCTAATAAATATTCTTGCACAAGCTTCCTGGTCCAAGGGAAATCTCTTTCAGAAGACCTCTGTCAGGCAGATTGTGAAATAATAGAAAAAAATGTCCTTCTATCTATCTATCTATCTATCTATCTATCTATCTATCCATCCATCCATCCATCCATCCATCCATCCATCCATCCATCCAATCTGGCACAGACCTCTGGAACCCTTTGTAATTTCCTAAGTGACAAAAACACTGGGAGCATCTTTTTTGTA